AAAAATAAGTAGTAAAGTAAAGTAAAAATATCAGAAAAATCTACTTGAGTACAGTAACGAAGTATTTGTACTTCGTTACTTCCCATCTCTGTATTACGGTATATAATGGCATGATTTTACAATCAGAATAATAATTTTAATGACAGGGAAATTATTAGGTCAAGAAGATTATTTCCACCATGCTTTCCAGGTACCTTACCAATTTGACTAAATTGTATCTTATAAAGCAGAAAAGACATCTTCAAATTTGTTTTACAGTTGTCCTTAAACCAGGGACATCAAAGTAAATAGATTTTAGAAAAACGTTCTTTATTGTTCTAATTCATTCAGCCAATGGCCAAAGTACAGCGCTCTTGTGTTCATTACCAATTGATGATTGTCAAAACAGTCCAAACATTTACTGAACTTCACCAAAGGTTCACAGTCTTCAAGTTATTAATTCCCGGTTTAAGGGTGTTATCCATGTCAAACTAAACCCAAACTTTCCAAACAGATCTTTTTTATGGTGTCAAATGAGTAGTAAAAAAAAGCAGGCTCATCCGTAGGCTCTACTTTAATTAACCCAGCATTAATTGGCTATCTATGAATCATTCTTTATTTCTGTTATCTTTTTTCTTAATTATTCCACTCTAAACATTTAGGAAATTATTTTAAAACTTCATTTTGTTTCTGTGACATAAAAATCCCAATAAAAATGATTGTAGTTATTATTCACAACATCAACAAATGTGAAAAAGGTTTAAGAAAGATGCAAAACAGTTGAAAATTTTTAAATCTGCAGAGGAAATGGCATTAGTATGACGCAAATATCAGAACCTAACGTTGCATGCTTGTTAAACCAATCCTGTAAACAAAAATCAGGTGCATTCTTGGTGCCATATCTGGTCTTTGTGCTGACCTGTGGCGTACCCCTGTTCCTGCTGGAAACAACCATGGGTCAGTATACTCAGGAGGGGGGCATCACCTGCTGGAGGAAGCTGTGCCCACTAGCAGAAGGTAAGCCCTGCATGCTGCATGTTTTTGTATCAGAGAAAGTAAAACCTCATAAACATGCTTATTGAATTGGATATGACGAGGAATAGGATTTTCCTTATTTGACTTTTTTTTTTTATCTTATACTTCAAGATATTTGAAAAAAAAAATTAAATAATGGGAGTTTTACACACTGGAAAAAACAGCAAAGTTTGCTGTTCTGCAGGTATAGGCTTTGCAGGGCAGCTAATTCTTCTCTACAGCTGCATGACCTACATTATTATTCTGTCGTGGGGTTTGCTCTACCTCATGTTCTCCTTCAGCCCCCAGCTGCCATGGGCCACCTGTGACAACTACTGGAACACAGGTATCATTTGTGCTCATTATTATCAGCGTCAACAACATCACAAAACCACAAAGTAAAAAAAACGTTGTTCTTGTCATTCAGAGAACTGTGTGGACTTTTCAGCAACAAACAGCACCTTCCTGTTGATCAACGGGACGAACTCAACTTCGGCCGCCACAGAATTCTGGGAGTATGTCTGCAAAGTCAAAGGAGATTTTCATCCATTTATATGAAACAAGTTAAGAGAACTTTTTCTTCCAGGCGCCGTGTCCTGGCCATTTCAGGGGGGATTGAGGAGTTAGGCAGCATCAGGTGGGAGGTGCTGTTGTGCTTGATTGGAATGTGGATCATCTGCTACTTCTGTATTTGGAAAGGAGTCAAGTCCACAGGAAAGGTCAGCAAGTTCCACTGGTCCATGTGCAACAAGCTCTGCAAATATTTGCATTCCTAGTAAAAATGTGTTTTTAATATATATAAATATATTTGGGTGGCATGTGCAAATTATATATATATATATATATATATATATATATATATATATATATATATATATATATATTTTTTTTTTTTTTTTTTTTATCAAAGGAGAAAATCTAATGAAAAGAAATATATTTTCTGGTTGATTATTTTTTAGTTGGCAAAAATCAACAATGCAACACTTAATAGTACAAACCAGTTTAGTTCATATAAGATACATCTAACTTGAACCTAATAATATTGTTTAAGTTGCTATTTAGAAACAAAAACAGTTGTTAGATGTTCTAAGATATAATACCCTGGGGTATCAAATATTCCGTCAATCAGAAGAGCATTTTATGAGCTCAGCCTGTAAAATTGAAAGGTATTTGACACCACAATGGGGGGAAGGAGTGTAATAGGAGTAAACATAAAAGTAAGAGCTGCAACATAAATTTATATTTTAACAGATCATCATGATTACTGGTAAACTATAAATATGTCAACAAGGGTAATGAGATAAATGAAGAGAACAAAAATACAGTTTTCCCCACTGTAGACAATAAATGTATGTCAGTGGAAAATCAAATGGGCACATACGGGTCAATAGGTCAATTATAGCACATACAGGTAAATATAAGACCATCCTTTATGAAAAGAAAAACAGAAAATCAAAAGGGTAAAGGA